TAATAATAATAATAATAATAATAATAATAATAATAATAATAATAATAATAATAATAATAATAATAATAATAATAATAATAATAATAATAATAATAATAATAATAATAATAATAATAATAATAACAATAATGATAATGATAATAATAATAATAATTGTAATAACAAAAGTGTATAGCGATTATTTTGGATAAAAGATAGTAATTTCAGACCATCATTCGTGGAACAATTAATGCAGCATAAAATTTTCTGTGTTTACACATTAATCTTAATTTATCTCTGGTATGTATTTTCATTTTAAACATTCAAACTAATGTTTGAGATATCATTGAAAACAATATATTATTAACATATATATAAGTTATCTTTCTGATTCAAAACTTTATATTTCATTTTCGATGCATGGAAACTTGCTTTATTCCAATTTTAGTTCTTTTATTATTATTATTATTTTTCTTTTTTGCTATTGGAAATATTTCAGAAATAATGAAATCTTTAGGATTAGTGATACATTCCTTTATTATGGCTTATCAAATTACAGTATTCATTTACCAGGAAATAAATACTGGAACTATATATTATCAGGTTTAGCCGAATTACCAGCATATATAACTATACCGTATGCACTTGGAAAGTAATTTCTTGTTTTTCTTTTTATTTTTCTTGATTTTTATTTTACACTTTGATCGATGGCAAATGTAAATTGATTCATACAGCGAACTAATTAGACATTAGGGAAACGAAATGAAATGTTGTAATTAATTTTTAATGAGAAACAAATACAAACAAGTATTCGATGATTCAGGTCTGTTAAAAATAAACAATGTGGTGGAATTGCTACAGAAGTATTCGTTAGTGATCGCAATTTGCCATAGATGATAATTTAAGAAAAAATAAATTTGGAAATAAATTTAAAACTTGAAAAAAAAGGATTTTTAAAAAAATATAAGTATTTATAGTTTTGGACGCAAACGAATTGTTGCATTTATGCATTTCCTTGTTGGAATATCACATATAATTATTATATTTGTGCCTAACAGTAAGTTTTTCTTTTTCTTTTGTTCAAATGTAAAAGTAAATATTATATAAATTACAAAATGTTTTATCGTAATTTTGTCAGCTAATCGTTGCATCAACAAAAATGATATCAGTATTCAATTATTCATAAATGATATCAATATTTCAATTATTCGACAAAAATGATATCAGTATTCAATTATTCATAAATGATATCAATATTTCAATTATTCAACAAAAATGATATCAGTATTCAATCATTCATTTATTTATTTATTCTATTGTAAAATTCAGGCATTGTTTATTCATTTATTTATTTAGTTCAATGTAAAATTGGAGCATTGATTATTTTTTATTTGCTTATTTATTTATTTATTTATTTGTTTATTTACTTACTTTAATGTAAAATTAAAGCATTAGTTATTTATTCATTTTTTCACTTTTTCATTTATATATTTATCTATTTTTTTTATTCATTTATCTATTTATTTATTTATTTATTTACTTATTTATTTATTTATTTATTTTCATGCAAAATCAAAACAGAATGATTATTCGCTTCAGTACTATCAGCGTTAATCATTTAAAATATCGATTATTTGATTATTTAATTCAGTGTAAAATAAATATTAAAAAAAAACTGTCAAATAAATCTTTTCAGATTTCGTTTGGTTATCGATTTTATGTTGGCTAATATCAAAATTTGGAATTTCATCATCATTTATGTGTATTTATGTTTATGGAAGTGAAATATTTCCAACAACAATACGTAATATTTGTTTAGGTTTATGTGCTGTAATCGCACGATTTGGTGGTGTTATTGCGCCATATGTTAATTTATTGGTTTGTTTTTTTTTTTTTTAAATCAAATTTCATTTTATTATTTTCAAAAAGATTTGAAAAAAAATAAGTAAGAAATGAAATTTAAATTTTTCTTTGCATTAATAATGAATATACTTGCAATCCTTTCAATTTTTCGTTTTTTTGTATTTTAAATTTAGTAAAAAAAAAAAGAAAGAAAAAAATGGTAATTATTCCCTTTTCAATAATTAACTACTATTACCTAATATAATTAAAATTACACTAAACATAATTATGTCACATTAATTTGTATTGATAAACTGTTTATTTAAAAATTATTTTTCATAAAATTTTAATATTGAAATATTTTTGATTTGCCACAATCATATCATATCATATCTTAATCATTTCAATTTATAATTTTATAGAGTTCAATACATGCATTATTACCAACCATACTATTTGGAACAATAGCTATAACAGCCGGAATTTTAACATGTATTTTACCGGAAACAAAAGAATGTATATTACCATCATCATTGGATGAAGCAGTACAAGTCAAACATCACTTATCTAAATCATCAGCATTTCTGGAACAATCTAACCTACCAACAACATCATCAACTAATCAATTTGATTTATAGATAACTTTGTGAAGTAACTGATTTAATAAAATAAAAAAAAACAATTAATTTTAATAAAATTTGATAAAATGCGAAATAATTAATTTAATAAAGTTATAAAATAATTAATTTTATAAATGAAATGATTAGTGTGTATACCGTAAATATTATAATCATTTAAAAAAGGGGGGAAAAAAAGAACAAAGGGAAGGAAGTCTATGATCTATAATCTATGATCAACCATAAATAACACATATAATTTTGATAATATAATCTGAAATGGAAAAAAATAAATAAATTAAAATATGAATATTCACAATGAAACAAAATATATTGGAATTAAATATTATAATGAAATAAATAATCGATGATAATAAAAATAATAAGATATATGCATAACGATAAGATGAATAATAAGGATAAAATAATACTAAGGATAATAAATGATTGAAATGAAAATATTATCATTTCTATTTCTTTTCTCTTTTTTCATTTGAAATTAATTACGATTTTGAATAAAGCATGTAGTTCGAGATTAAGCAAGGGGAAAGAAAAAAATTGATTAAATTATTTATCCTATTCAGATAAATTCATATCAAATATTTTAATGTTATTAGTAATTTGTTGATAATTGATTATATTAATCTATGCATGAATGGATGACATACAGCAAATTTTAAAATCTGTAATAAATTATCGTCATATCAATTATAATCCATTATTAATTTCAAATACTAACAGAGATTTGTTGGTAATTGATTATATTGATGAATGAATCATAATGAATTTGAACATGTAAATATGGTATTCATTTAAAGTTTAGTGGTACCTGCTTGTTTTCTTTTTTCTTTATTTATTAATCTAACCTGAAATACAATTTAATACCTGATTTTAGCATGTATGATATGATATGGATGATATGCAAATTTAATTGTTATTAAAATTTCAAAATTAAAATCTTTTTTTTGCATACGCTTTTTGTTATCATTTGCTATCATTAAAATAATAATCCATAAATTTCAAATCATACATAAATCCTTCTATCAATACATGTAAATGTTTCATATAAAGTATAATTTATTATCAATTTTAATACTATCAGTGATTTATTGATAACTGATTGTTACTAATGAAATGAAGGGATGTTAATGAAGTAGGAATTAATTTTAGCAATTAATAACACAACATTAACAGATGTATGAGATAACGAAAGTAATGTTCGAAAATACACGTAAAGAAAAAAGAAAAATCACGCGACACATATTGTCTTTTTCAGTCGTCGCAAATTGTCCCCTAACCTGCTCGATTAGTTGTCAAGCATTTGTTTGTGTGTGCTGAAAATGTGATAGTTAGAGATACCATCGGATTTCATTTTCTTTTTTTTTGTTTTGTATTTTTCCATATCAAAATCTTTAATCATTTGTGATATTTCACTAATCTTATCAATCTTTTGCTCTATCTATAAAATTTGTACTATTTTCGAATTCTTTGCTATCGTTTTGTTAGGTTATAAAAGTTTATTTCATTTATTTCATTTATCAGTTAGAAGTAATCAATAAAGGTATCATATGTAAATGTATGAACGTCAAAAAAAAGGGAAGAAAGGAGAACGTCAATTTCTCAATTACAAATGACATTAACAGTAATAACTGATAGACCGTTAATTAGCATAGGTAATTAATGAGAAAGAAAAAGGAAGCACGAATCATATCATGTCCGCTATGGTATCATTTCAATCATTGGATATGATAGTATTCATTACAGAACAATTTAGATACGGTAGTTATAGTATCGTTAATCTGGGATAGTCTGTTATGGTCGATTTTGTAATATGATTTATACGAAAAGATATCAGAATGATTACTTTCTCATTCTTTTTTCTTTATTAACTTTCATTAAAGTTTTTTTCAAGTAAAAATTTTAATTTCTAATTTAATTTCCAGTTCAGTTTAATTAATTTTCTTTTTAGTAATTCCACTGTTATGGAGTGTATTTTTATATTAAAAAATAGTTCTCCCTTACTTCAAAATTAAAAACAAACCCAAAAATGAAAAAAGAATAATATTTCCTTTACACTATCCCGATTACTTAAAAAGAAAATATTTTTTCTAAATATATATATTCTCTCTCTCTCTCTCTCTCTCTCATCCCCGTCCATCCCTTCCCTCTTCCCCTATTCCTCCCTCCTTTTCTATCTCTTTTTCCCTTTCTCTCTCCTTATGCCGCTCTTACTTTTTTTCACTTTATTTTGAATATGAAAAAGAAAAATTAAACTAAAATATTTTAGAAGCAAAAATAAAAAAAAAAAGGAAAAGAAAAGTTCATCCATCTTTATGTAATAAAATATAGCATTTGTCATATCGATTGACTAAAATTTCTCCTCTTTTTTATTTGTTTTTAAGATTTTATTAAATTAAAATTAACAGGAATGTAAGATTTTTGATGATATTATTTAAAATTATAATTTTATAAATTTGACCTTAATTTATTATTCGATCAGGAATGTGCACAAGGAATGTTTACTTGTAATTTTTGAAATTAATTTTAATTCTCACTACCATCTAAATGTTTTTATAGTTGTACGTTTTGTTGTGGTTGGAAATTTAATTTTTATGAATTCAATTTTCTGTACTTTTTTCTTACCTTTTTCATCAGTATTTAAATGTCGTAAAATTTAAATATTGAAAAAATTGTAATGTGACAAAAAAAAAATGAAATGGGTCATTAGTTCAATTTTTGTCAAATTTTGTGACATGCAATTTTTTCTGTATTCTGCATTGTATCCTGCATTATATTGCACGGCGGCTACTTTAAATGCAAAAGGTCAAGTTTTGAGGAGTCTGATAACCACGTCAGAATTGCTTTCAGTCACGCAGTCATGCTTCAAATGGTTTACAGGTTACTCATCGTGTTGTCACATATATGTCATCAAATTATACAGAAGAACTTATCAGCTCAGGTTTTTTTTCCAACTTTTGATTTAGATAATTAATTAAGCATTTGCCTTGTTATAATTAGGCTTCTCATCTATAGTTCATTTGACATAGGCCTGTTTGATTAGGAATGCAGGGTTTTCCTTCCTTTTAGTAGTAATAATAATAATTAGATTTTAATTAATTGATGGGTGAATGAAATTTTGAATAAGGTATTGACATGTTTAAAATTAATGTGCAAATATGATCAAATTTTTCAATGGTATAAATCAGCAACTAGGAAAAAAAGGAAGTGTTTATTGCTTATTTTGTTAGACGAGAAAAGGAAATTTTAATTTTTTATATTTATTGTTGTGCAAAATAATTGATGAACAAATAAATAAGGAAGTTATTTGATTACTTCTTATTGTTATATGTTTCGTAATGACTATTTATAGTTGTTGGAAAGCAGCGACAATACGATACAACTGGCATAATTGAGATCAATTTATGTGTTTAACTATGGCAAAGTAATTAGTGGCGTTTGTTATGCAGATTTTGAAAGAGTGACACGACAATAAAATATTATTAATGTACAAGGAGAATATATATATATATATATATATATATATATATATATATATATATATATATATT